TTGATTATATAGTTCATTTCCTATTAGACAGTATTGAAAAAGTTCATTAACGTAATTTACTATAAAAATTATGGCAGTTATAGCCATAGAAAAAGGGATATTATTCTGAAAGAAAACAGATTAAATTATTAAATTAGGTACATATTATATCAAGTGAAGCATAAACTAATTACTACTTCTACAAATACACAGTGGCGGTTCGTCAATAAAAACATTGGGTGTTCTGCAAGAGTCTGCCTCCCCTCCCCAAAAAGCTATTATTATTTTACAGCTTTTATTTACTTACTTTTTATTAACACAAACTAATAATCTACAGGAGCGAAATCAAATCATGGATATGGCAAAAACGCAGCCCAAACAGTACGTGTCTCGGCCTTACTTTTTAGAGAGCCGCGGGGAGGTGAGACGATGTGCGAGAGCGGCACAAGCAGTGCACAGACCGTTCCAAAGCGAACCAGCTAAGAGATGAATCTGACCTGGCAAGGTTCTGTTAAAATTTCCACCGGTCTGTTCTGGACATATTCTCATGTATGAACTGACAGTAGGATACGGTCGTTGCGATATAAATACTATTTAATAATTATAATTCAATTAAAATTATTGTGAATATCTATAAAATTTTAGAATGCCTTGAATAATTTCTGTGAAATGTAGATGATATACTTTCATTTCTTGGCAGTTCTGCAACTCTATAGCACTTATACACAAGCTGCCACTGCTACTATTTATACTACTACTAATACCACAACCACCAGCACCACCACCACCACCACCACCACCACCACCACCACCACCACCACCACCACCACCACCACCACCTCAAGAACCACGTTCAGATTAAAATAAAAGGTAAGGAAGAAAAAACAGACAAACATTTAAAGAATCGCTGACCGCTAAACTGGGAAGCATGGCGGAAATTAATGTTAAACAAAGGAGCCAAACAATAATGCTACTAGATATAGACGAGTCGATACAGGAGACCGAGGTGAAAGAAGTTTTGGAAAAGGAACTAAACCAAAATAAAAGCGCACAAGAAGGCATGCAAATTAAATTACAAGAAAAGGCCAATAAGAATGGGGTGAAATATGCCTTCATCACACTAGAACAAAACGGTGCTAAACAACTAGTGGCAAAGAGAACAATTGGTGAAGGATGGGACCGATGGAGAGTAAGAGAAGTAACTACCCTGCCTAAATGCTACAAATGTTACCGAGTAGGGCACATAGCAAATAAATGCGATGTAACAGAAGCATGTCACAAGTGCGGAGAAACAGGTTATAAAATAAAAGAATGCAAAGAAGAGCAGAAATGTTATCTATGCAAGGATGACAGCCACAAAGCAGAAACAATGCGCTGTCCTGAATACAGAAAACTTGTGAAAACGCAGAGAGAGGAGAGAATGGGAAGACATAATAGGCAATAAGACGCCCACTTAAAATACTTTAAACTATCCTCGGAAGGAGTATAGCTGCACATGATATCATGGAAGAAACTGCAGCAAGATAAAAAAGCGATATAATAATAATAATAATAATAATAATAATATTAATAATAATAATAATAATAATAATAATAATAATAATAATAATAATAATAATAATAATAATAAGCGAACCCAATATAAAAACGATAAGTAAAGACGGACCGTTGGTAGTCGATAACAGTAAAGATTCAGCGATAAAGGTAATAAACAAAAGGCTAAAATGTGGGAGACGCAAAAAACGAAATGTTGGATAAACATAGGAGAATATAGAATCTACTCATGCTATTTCTCGCCTAATAAAAGTGTCGATGAGTTTGAAGTATACTTGCGAAAACTAGACATGGATTTGAAAAACATACCTAGGAAAGTACTGATAGAGGGTGATTTTAACTGAAAATCCTATGAGTGGAACTCTAAAAAAGAAGATACACGGGAAAAACTCTGTGAAAATGTAGAAGATGATGTATTGTGAAAAATAAAACCCAAGCAGCTTAACATTCCAGAGGAAATCAGAAAAGGAGCAATACTTGCTCTATTTCCAAAGCAAGGGAATACGATATGGCCTCCAGAACAAGGAGAAGAGGAACATATTAATAAGATAGGAGAAGAAGAAGTAAAAATCGTAGCTCGTAAGCTTAAGAACAACAAAGCTCCTGGCCCAGACGGGACACCCTCAGAAATAGTCAAAATGATAACCGTTGAATTCCCTCTAGAGATAGCAAAGATAATAAATGACATCCTCGAAGAAGGCGTTTTCCCTGATGCATGGAAGAAAGGCCGGTTAGTGCTAATTCAGAAACCTGGAAAGATCGAAGTTGATCCGAGTTCCTATCGCCCACTATGCCTATTGGATACAATGGGAAAACTCCTGCAACATATAGAGGCGGAAAGATTAAGGTTGGAGCTGGAAAACAAGGAAAACCTGTCAGATAGGTAGTTTGGCTTTAGAAAGAAACGATCTACTGTTGACGCTATAGGAGAGGTTAAAAAAATAGCAGAATTGGAAATGGGAAAAACCAAAGAACTAAAGTAACTAGTGCTAGTAACTATAGATATCAAAATGCCTTTAACACAGCCTCATGGCTATAATGAAAGAGCTAAGATTTTAAAAACCACTATATTATAGATGAAGACCTTGTGTAATACAAAATTGCAGGGGGAGTACCGCAGGGTTGAGTCTTGGGATCGCTGCTTTGGAACGTACTGTATGATGGAATCCTAAAAATCAAAACTCCAGAACAGACAGAGCTAGTAGCATATGCTAGGCGCGGTGGTCGTAAGAAGAACTGAAACGGAACTAGTGGAAACTACAAATGACGTACTGGAGATGATTAGTAGGTGGATAAAAGATCATGATCTGCAGCTGGCACCTCAAAAGACTGAGGCAGTGCTGTTGATAGGAAAAAAAAAAATAAAAACAACCATTACTTTCCAATTAGAAGGGGTCCAGATTGTACCAAAAAAAGTGTTAACTATCTAGGCGTTACGATGGACCAGAACTTAAACTTTAGACAACACTTAGAACGAGTTACAGCTAAATGTAAACGAACATCAGCAGCGCTGACACGAATAATACCGAAAGCAAGGGGAGTTAGTGAAATAAAAGGCAGAATGCTAGTAGCAGCATCTCAGTCAATTATATTATATGCGTCAACCATATTAGATGCTCTAAATAGAAAGTAAAATCTTAAATTAATTGACAGCACGCAGTGTATTCTGGCGGTAAGAATGTGCAATGGATACAAGACAATAGAGTGCAGCCTAGTAATATTCGGAGTAATACCAATAAAATTGCTGGCGCTAGAGAGACGCGAAACAATTGGTAAAAATAACATTGAGTAAACGGAAGCCAGAGAAAGACGCTACAAAGATGGCAAGAACAATGGAGAAGTGGCCAGAAAAGTAGATGGACACGAATCCTGATCCCCGATTTAACCATATGGTTAAGGAGGGATATCGGGCAAATCAACTACCACTTGACACAATTCTTAACTGGCCATAGGTGCTTCATGGAATATTACTTTAAAATTAAAATAACAGATACAGATGAGTGAATGTACTGCCAAGAGACAGACATGACTGAACAGACATTTTTTTTAATGTCAGAAATGGGAAGACAAAAGAAGACAAGTTGAAAACAGCATCGGATTCCAAATAACAAAAGAAAATATTATTGAAACCATGATATCAGATAAAGACATATGGCATAGAATATCCGAAATGATTGGTAGAATATTAAAGGAAAAAGAGTTAGAGGTAAAACGAAGAAGGTTGATCAGAAGACAATAAAAAAGATAGAATGGATAAAAAGAAAATACAAAATACAAGATGGCGCATAGCGAAGTAATGCCTGAAGGCGGTTCCACTATGCCCCAGGATAAGTAAGAGAGTGGTTTTTTAGTCTGTAAAAATTGGACACTACCTTGTAGTACGGCCTGCTTGGTGTCTTTTGAAGATCTTTCTACTTCCACGAAATAAAAAAAAACTACGAATTTAAATGTTTATTTTATTTTAGCCCAACCTAGACATCATAGGGAAATTAAAAAAGTTTGGATGGATCAATGCCTAAGAAAAAGTAGAACTCGGAAAGGATAGCAAAATACTGGTGGGCAGGGGAAATTGTAGAGTAACGAGCATTATGCAATAAATTAAGAAGGCAAAAATCAACAGTTAACAGACATATCGTAAGTCAAGCAAAGATGGAAGTGATAGAAGCCAACTTAAAGAATGCGAAGAAGAAACTAAAAAGCTTAATAATAGAAAGCAAAAAGAATGCATAGGAGTAACTCTGCGAAGCAGTAGAAGAAGACCCTTGTGAAAAGGCATACCAAATAGTAATGGGAAAACTAAAATCAAGACCCTTGGATATACCACCAAAATTTAAAAAAGGAAATTATTAATACATTATTTCCTTAGCAAGGATACCCGAACAAGGGGAGGATGAGGATATCCCGGATGTGACTATAAAAAAATTGGAAACGGCTGCCAAGAAGCTCTAAAATCGTAAAGCTTCAGGGCCCGACGGGATACGGTCCAAAACAGTTAAATTAACTGCAAACGAACTCCCAGAATGTTTCCAAGAGATGGCTGATAAAATTATAAATAGTGGGGTTTTCTCAACGCAATGGAAAGTTGGAAAATTGGTTCTCTTTAAGAAGTCCGGAAAGAAAGAAGAATAACTGTCTTCTTATCGACCCGTATGTCTACTTGACATAGTGGGAAAATTCATGGAACAAATAATCGCAGCAAGATTAAATGACGAACTTAAGGAAAAAAGGGGATTTATGCGAAAGGCAATACGGATTCAGAACGAGCGTGTAGAGATTGCAAAAAGGGAAATAAAAAAATATCAAAGATCAAAATGCCTGTGTGTTCTACTAACTGTAAACATCAATAATGCTTTTAACATAGCTTCTTGGAACATCATACTTAGACAACTAACAAGGTGCCAAATATCTAAATACCTACGAATACCAGCCGCTAGTTACTTTATTGACCGGAAAATCATAGATGATAATGGAGAAGAGTATATGATAGCAGCTGGAGTTTCTCAGGGATCTGTCTTGGGTTCACTACTGTGGAATATTCTACATGATGAAATATTACGTATAGAGACTACGCCTAATAATAATCTTATTGCCTACGTAGATGACTTAGCAGTCATAGTCATAGACAGAACGAAGGAAGGCCTCATAAATTTGGTTAACACCATTCTGGAATAAATCAGCGAGTTGGTAAAACTGAATAATCTCAAACTAGCACCGGAAAAAACAGAAGCGGTATTACTAATTGGTAGAAAACACTGAGTAGACCAATTACGTTTACAATTGAAGAAGTCTCTATTATACCAAAAAATAGTACAAAGTACCTGGGGGCCAGATTAGAGATTGAAGCTTGTCATATAAGGAATAATTAGAGAACGCTAAAGACTTAATAAAGGGGGTGCTATGGAAACCGAAAAGACTGTTTTGAGAACTACTCTATTCAATCCTAATGTACGCATCAGATATTTGAAAAAATGTTTTGCATAGAAAAATAAACCGAGAGAAGCTAGCACAATTACAAAGAAAGATGGCGATCAGAATCTGCAGAGGGTATAAAACAATATCTATGTAAAGCAGCCTCGTTATCTCTGAAATTATACCCATAGACTTGCTGATTGAAAAAAAAAATTGTGAAGTTTAAGGTAAGAGCATAGCTAGAATAAAAACTTTAAAAACGTAGCAGAAAAAATGAGATACATGTAAAAAAGGAAGATGGACGTACACACTCATACCTAATATTGAAAAATGGAATAAACGGAAACTAGGAAACGTTACATTTCATATTACTCAATGTCTAACTGGTCACGGAATACCTAATCGAATACCTGAATAGATTAGGTGTAACAGAGAAACAAGAATGCATGTACTGTCCGAATGTGAATACAGTAGAGCATACCCTGTTTCAATGCGGAGAATTGAGAGATATCAGGCTAGAGCTAGAAGAACGTATTGGAATTAGGCTCTCTAAAGAAAACATTTTAGACGTTATGACCAGTAACAGAGCAATAACAACAGATACGTAACATTATGAAAAAGATACTGGGACAAAGGAAGAGAGACTTTAGAAGATTATATGAGCATACTCTAGCAACTTATTAAGGTATCTGTGACCATCTTTACATCACGTCTCTCTTCGAAGTTATGCCGACTAGTGATTCCGAGGGGACATTCCTGTGAAAAAGAGTGAAAGTTTTTTAGTTGGTAGAAATCCGGCACTATTAGACGTCTCAGACGTCTCAGGCGTCTAATTTCTTTTAAAGATTCTGTTATCACTCTTAATAATAATAAAAACTACCACCACAACTAAAAACTAGAAAACGTTAGTCTATAAGTTACTAATTTTGCTTTACAATACGAGTTGTGATTCTACTATACTTTTTGGCAGATAAATTTGTTGATACTCTTTAATTTTAGAAAACATACCTTAACAGATGTTAAGGTGATTATTCCTATGCATATCCCCGCTGTACTTTGTATTAGTTGAGCCAAGATATTGATACCAAATATGCTATTCGTCCGCTTAATGCACCTAAAAATAAATGATTGCTAAGACTATATGCAGGAAGATTCATAAGGAATGAGTTATATTTTACCTGCATATTCTATGGCGGAAAATATTTTTTTGGCTCAATAACTGGGTATTAGATATTTATTCATACTCAGATATTCTCAGTTATAAAAAAATTCAGTAATATTGTTATATTTTAGTTATTTTCAAACATAAACATGAAAGTCGCTACAATTAGATTTTTGGAAACTCTAGTTTTGTTGTATCGCATAGAGGTTTTTTTGGTTTAACAGACAGAATACGCATTAATATTTGACATCCATTGTATTAACTACTTAAGAAATAAAAAATTAACATGTACTACTGAAGAATGCAGTTAAAATATTAACCATTCCTGATGAATTACCCGTATTAGGTATTTTAATGACCTGTCCAAATGGCTGCCTAAGGGCTTTGACAGGGTCGAGAGGCCATATTGCCTTGCAAGTGTTTATTAATCAGAATCGGTTTAGCAAAAATGTATTTTAAAATAAAATTTCAGCCTTAATAGCAAAAAAAAATAATTACCTACATTTTACTTCAAGGCACGAGCATATTATGTTTATTTTGAATAACATGACGATCAATTTAAGTTGATAATTTTTTAACTGTCTATAGATGTCATTGATTTATCCCACCTGATATACAATCACCCGCGCACTTATGTAACAACAACTCCTCGACAATATTATTATTTAAAATATGTTCTTCTAAACGCCCTTAATTTTTAACTGACCATATTCCATACTGAACAGAACTACCGACTTACTAACGAAATGAGGCCATGCATTAGATTTATAGAAAAGAAAGGATTTTTGGTCTATTGCTTCCTTGTAGTCCTTAATGTACATGTACAAGGTCGGATAGGGTGTATATTCCTCATCAGGTATTGATGTATTTCTTCAGTAACAGTGTTGGTTAGGTAGTTCATGAAATTTTCTATTTCTTGTAGTTTACTTTACCATTGGTGATGTTTATTATGCACTAATATTATTAGAAATTTGATTTCTCCTTGATGTATCTCTCAACAGGATTGGCATAAGGATGCCTTATGCTTGTGTATGTGGGTCTTATTTCTGTAAGGAAATATTTCAGCCTGTTATTAAGATATGTGCATAATGGATGGCTTGCCAATTTCTTTTACATAATCCTGTAGACAATTCTTAACAGTTTAAATGTTTATCTTCTTGCATGGGTACAGCTTTATAAATTTTGAAAAAATATCCAAGATTACAAAGATGTTTTTGTTTTGGTTGTCAGTCTTAATCAAATTTGTAATCAAGTCGATTGATATTATGTGTAGTGGTTCTTTTCCTGTAATTGATTTTGGTATGTTTTCATTATGTCTGTTTTTTCTTTCTCTAATTGACATATCTGGCAGTTGGACTTGACTGTTTTTGCTATGACCAGTTCTTTTTTTAAATAAATGTCTCTCTGAATAGCAATCAAAGTTTTCTGGATCCCGGTTGTCCATATTCTGTATGTAAGTATCTCATGACTTTGGTAATTGATTTGAAATCACATATAGCCATTGTCCATTTAGTTTATTGCAGTAAAATTGTCCGTCATGGTTAGTATTTCTTTTTTGTTCGTTCATCAGTTTCTATTGGTCATTTCGTATATTCTCGTCAATAAATATGGGATGTACATTTGTTATTTATTAATTCCCACTGTAACTTGTCTATTAATCGTTCGTTTGTCCATCCTACTGATATAGTCACTAATTATATTTAGTTTCCCCGGTACATATTTAATGTGGAATGAATATTCCTGCATCATTGGAGACCACCGATGTATCCTGCTATTCCCAAATTTGTTGTTCAATAGTGAAATTAACGCGTTATTGTCTGTCTCTATCGTGAGTAACCTTTTAAAATAATTTATTACTTCTAGAAATCTACGAAACGTTTTTAACCTTTCAGTAGTGGCGCAGAGTCAGAGAGACGCAACGATTACATTTTTAGCTTCCAAATCTGAGTGGTGGGAGAAATAGCGCTGTATGCTTGTGTATCTTCATCTTCATGAATTATTCTCTAGTCTCTTGTGTCAATTTGTTGAGTATGGCAGACTAACTATTTATATGTCTCTCAGACTACCTGCCACCGCCAGCGCTTCAGTTATTTTGGTTGGAATATCCACCATTTTGGTAAGTTTTGTAGCTATTTTACCTAAATGAGGGAAAAATCTGATGATTTTTTAGTACTTTACTATATGTGACTATGAAAAATAACACGAGAGTCTTTGCCGTCTTTTGGCAGAAGTTGAGGAACTGCAGGAACTCGACGATGAAGTCGAAGTGAGCTAGATATAAATAAAGTACGGCCATCAGATGGCGAATTCGAACAAGACGCAGATTAAAAAGAAGAAGCTAGCAATACTCTAAATAATTAAAAGTAAATATCTTGTCAAAGATAGACGTACGATCTGGACTAAGCATTGCAAATTTAATTTTAAAACACGTACTAAGAGACTACATATCATTAACCTGAAAGGCGAAATCTGCTGTCATCGAGTATTGGGAATTATTCTTGACAGCAGATATGTTACATCACATTGTAAAATGTACCAATTTGTTAATAGCTTCTATCGCAGATAATTTTCGGAGAGAACGCTCTACCCGACCAAAGGATATTGCAGAAATCAAAGCACTTTTAGGATTATTGTATTTAGCTGGATGCCAAAAAAATAGTCGTTTAAATACGAGTGATATGTGGGATAGGAATGGTTTAGACGTAGAAAGGATTTGGCTGACAACGTCCTAATATCGATTTGAATTTCTGCTTAGATGCGTAAGATTTGACAATATAGAAACAAAGTCACAAAGAAAAGAAATCGACAAACTAGCTCAAATTCGTGAGATATTTTATTAATTTGTTGACAAATGAAATCTTGTTATACTATAGGAGAGACAAAAAACTTTTTGAGGCCGTTGTAGCATCAAACAATATATTCCCAAAAAAACCTAACAAATATGGTGTCGATATTTCCTTTGGTTGATTCCAGAATTAGCTTTACTCAAAATTTAGAAGTACACGTAGGTATACAGCCGGATGGTCCGTATTCCCTACCAACAGATACAAAAAGTGTTGTCGAAAGACTGCTAGTTCCCATGTCTGATACTGGAAGAAACGTTACGTACGCCAATTGGTATACGAGCTTTTCGTTAGTCGAAAGTTTACTTTCTGAACATCGACTTATTTTCGTAGAAACCGTAAAAGAAATTAAAAAAAGTTCTCTCCAGAATTTGTACAGACTAAGCAATGAGGTCTTTATTCATCTCTATTTGCATTCCAAAAGAACATGACACTAGTTTCCTACATTCCAAAAAAAATATAAAAATGGTTTGTTAATGTCTAGTATGTATTTTACGGGCGAAATTAATAAAATCAATGAAGAAAAACTTAAACCTGCAAAAATTACATTTTATATTCTGACGAAGGGTGATGTAGATAATGTTGATAAAATGTGTGCTGCAGATGATGTTTCGAGAAATTCTGGTATTATTCCGAATACAACTTCACCCGATGTAAAACAAATAACGGGGTTTCTGTTATTTTAAAATGTTTGTAATCGTCCCCATATTTTATTAAATATTGACTGGCACCAGAAAATGGAACTGAGTTTTAGACACATATGTAGTTTTATTTGATTTTATATAAACAATAAAAAAGAACGAATAAACCAGTGAACTTTTTATTTATATAAAATTCTACTACGGTCAGGAAATTATCCTTTTTTCAAATAATTTGTATCGTTAAAATATAAAGTTTAAAATTTTGTACCCTTGCCGTTCGTATAAAAACTATCCCGAACTCATATTAGGCTTAAGAGAAAAGTATTCTTTTGCAGGGGCAGATTCAATGATTACACCCAAATTAAAAGCAACATAATTTGTACCGTTAAATTATAAATTTTCAGATTTTGTACCCTTCCCGTTTCTATAGAAACTATATCAAACTCATATTAGGCTCAAAAGAAAAGTATCCTTCTGCAAGAGCAGAATCAATAGTTACTCCTGCTATAAAATCAACATAATTTGTATCGTTAGAATATAATTTTTCTTTTATTGTAAGTACGTACTCCCTCAGACTAAGTAATGCTTCCTATACATCATGATAAGTGGATCGATCTCGGAAGGTGTTCTTCATTATCAAATAGAAGAGATAACGCAATACGTCTTGAAGTTTCAATGCTTTCCCAGATGAGCAGATCTTGTTGTTGCTCGGTTGTAACACCATATCTTGCTTTTCCGGTACCTCCATATGTATCCATAAATTCGTAAGAGACACGGTCAGGTGATTCTCGGAGCTGGTTTACTTTTTCTTTCTGGTCATGGTTACCCTCAAATGGAGCCAGCCAGTTTTGGTGCACTACCTTCGGTTTACCGTTCGGGATCTAACTTATACGGTAGATGACATCATTGATTTTTTCTCAATGAGATATGGACCTTACCAAGACCTTTCAAGCTTCGGATAATAACCTTTTTGTCTTCTTGGGTTATGGAGCCAGTCTTGGTCGCCTTCCCTGAAATATCCTTCTGTGGCTTGGTTATCGTATCGCCTTTTCATTCTGTCGGTGGCGATTCGAAAATGCAAGCGGACCAATTCATGCATATCGTCCATTCTTCTTCTTAACTGGATAACATAATCATCACCAGCTACATCTTCTACAGGTTAGCATCCAAACTCGAGGTCGCACAGAAGTCCCATCTCATGCCCAAACCGGACCTTTGCTGTTGTTTGGCCTGTTGATTTATTGACAGCGGATCTGTAAGCCATTGCAAAGAGCGTAAGATACTGATCCCAATCTCGCTGATTGTTTGAAACCACTTTTGAAAGATATTTACCAATGATCTTATTTATTCGCCCTACCATTCTATCGGATTGTAGGTGCAGTGCTGTGGTTCTGGTTTTCTTCATGCCTAGTCTGTCACAGATTCCACGGAAGAGTTGGCTTTT